TGCAATTATTTAAATCAGTGTTAAAACGACCACTTGGCTATTTTACCGGACTATTTGTTTTTCTTATTGATTTGGACTTGTTTTGCGTTTGGTGATATTTTCGACGATTTGGCTTGTTTCTGGACTAAACTGGACTTTTGTGTACCTATCAAAATGCCACGTCATCAGTACACGGCACAAGAATATGCAAACATGCATTTTATTTATGGAGAATGCAGAGGCAACGCAAATGCAGCCGCAGCTCTTTATAGGGAGAGGTAACCTAATGCTCGCCACCCAGACTGGCGTGTATTTATAAGAGTCCACGGTTGTTACTCTAAAGGAAGAATGCCGGGTAGTGGTGTCGGTGGTGCTAGCGCTGGAAGAATCGCTCGTCCTGATGTAGAAGACGTGGTGCTTGAGGATATTGAAAACGATCCTTCAACCTCTACGCGAGCAATAGCTCGACGCACAGGTATTGGAAAATAGACCGTACACGATATTTTAAAGAAAAACGAATTCCACCCTTACCACGTTACACGCGTGCAAACTCTCCAACCAAGAGATTATCTCTCAAGAGTGCGTTTTTGCTGGCAAATGCTGGCAAAGATGGAAGAAGACCCGCAATTTTTTAATAAAATTTTGTGGAGCGATGAGTCAACGCTTAAAAGAGACGGTTACTTAAATTTACACAATTTACATAGTTGGGAACTAGAACATCCCCATCTTATGCGTGAAGACAGGTCACAATACCAATTTAAAATAAATTATTGGACCGGAATATTAAATGGTATGATAATTGGCCCATTTGAATTACCGGGGGAATTTAACGGGGCAAAGTTATTTGGAGTTTCTTCAAAATGATCTCTCCAATTTATTACAAGAGGTTCCCCAGGAGCTGAGGGAATCGTATTGGCTGCAAAATGACGGTTGTCCTGCGCATTATGCTGTTCCGGTTCGTGCATATTTAAATAGCAGATACCCAAATAGATGGATCGGACGTCTAGGGCCAATTTTGTGGCCTCCACGTTCACCGGATCCAAATCCATTGGATTTTTTTTACTGGGGCTGTCTGAAAGAGGAAGTATACTGTAAGCCCGTGCGGTCTTTGGACGAACTACGCAGTCGTGTCAGAGAAGCCGCATCAAAAATATGCGAGTGACGGTACACTAGACTGCTCAGAAGATCATTTATCCGAAGATGTAGGGCATGCATAAGAGTGTCAGGCAAACAATTTGAACATTTGTTGTAAATTAACAAAAATAAAATATTTTAATTTTAAATGTTGTTTTTTATTAATCCCCAATGATCAGAGACAATTCAATTTAATAAATGTTCCCATATTACAAATTTTGTTACTTAGTCAAATTTTCTCCTTTTCTACATAAATGGCAATAAGTCACTATTTATGGAAGATACATTTATGAATTATACCATTATAAAATCTACACGAAACCGATATTATTGTAAAATTATTGGTCACCCATACATTCATACATTTTTTTCATACCCAAGAGGTTTGAACTTCGCTTAAATAATATTTTTTGCATGTTTTTCAGAAATAAATTGATTTGCGAATTTTTTAAATAAAAACTGCAAAAGCTATTCATATTGTTTACATTTTACCTATAAGCACAGTTAGTGTACAATAATAATATAACAAAAAACCAATAGAAATCATTCATTTTTGGTCATAGTGTTCAAGACAGTAAAATATGATAGAAAAGAATCGACTTCTCTTTAAAAAAAATATATCAAAGGTACTACTTGTGATATATTATTTCTCGTATTTTTTTCAGCACGGCCATAAGTTGTACTATAAGACATTTCAAGGTTATCCATTCATTACCGGACATCCTGTATATAGTGTATATGTATATGAACACAAGTCGACGACTTTAAATATAAAAAGTTTTATCAGTTAATTATTATCATCATAACCACATAGATACCACTCTTTTTTTAAGAATCCAACTACTACCAGATACCGTATAACATTCATCTTACACGTATATTTCTTACGAGTAATTTTCTAACATCTTGCGAAGATTAAAAAAATCTCTTTTAATTACTAATGTGTTTTTCTATTCGGCTTATTCATTTCTTTTTGATTGTATTTGTGAAGTCGCTACATGTTATATTTACTTATTATAAATATGTATGTGATAATGTATACGTGTGCATGGTAGAAATACGTGTGTGCATATTGACTTAATAACTGTATAATAATGAATATTTTTAAGTTTAGTGTTAGTTAAATTTTTATTGATACCCACAGAAGATTAGTGTCGAAATACTTTGTAGTACCATGACTATGCTGAATTGGATACCTTTTTAGTAACCATTTATCAAATTTATATTATTTTATTTTTATTTTTGTAAGCAAATTGCTAAAATTACTTTCTAATATGTGAAGAGAATTGGTTGACTGTCTAGAAAATAAATTCTTCGCTTTGAACTAAAACTTTTATTTAAAAAAAATGATTTTTAGCAAGTTGACACGAGGTATAGCCATGTTGCAGGTATATTATTGTTGCGCACCATAGTTGATTACGGTAAATGCCACTAGTGCCATCTAGTATCGAGTAGAAGGCATTAAAAGAGCTTTCTAGAAAATGCCATGCTAGAACTTGCCCACTAACGCCATCTAATATCGAGTGGCAGAACTAGGAGAGAACTTTCTACACTTAGTCGGTTGGGACCGATATATGCTCGAGCATTCTGGATGTTTCGGTAGAAAAGGTCCTATATAAAGGCGTTCAGGACCGCGACCGGGCAGTATTGAATTGGCGATACGAGCGAAGCTGTGTGTTGTGTGTGAAGCTGTTCGGAGTGAAATAAAGTGAACTAAAGTGTTAAGTGCGAATAATTATTAGTGTCATTTAAGTTTTAATTGGTGTTCACTAAAGTTCGCCAAGCGAGCGTGCGACATGTTATACTCCCGTTCACTCGGGACCTTAATGGCCGCAAAATTTGTAAGTTAGAAAATTTAGCTTTGCTATATTGCAAGCATTTTGCTATATTTTCACTTTAGACAATATTTATGGATAAAACTTACAGGAATTCTTGTTGCATGTATACGACAACTATCGAATACAATTATTTTTGGTTGCTAGAAATTGTAATAAAATACGTAAATACCCTGTATAGCATAGTAGTAGTATATACTTCAATATTAGTGACAAAATTACTACTAATTTGAATTGCCCTACACTTTTGTTTATGGAGAAATTTATGTTCATAGTGGATTCTTCTATAAACTAAGTTTTATTATTTTTAGTTGATTGCGGTTAGCTTTAACTTTTAATTCGTAGCTTAATTTCACCAGTCGAGTTGCAGATGCGCTTTTCCTACTGCATTATTTTATATTACATGTCAATATAAATCGATGCGGCACCTCAGTAAAAGTAATATAAAATTCTGCATAATATAAACAGAAATGTTATTAAATTTCCCGTTTTGGAATAAAATTATAATATAATATAAATTTCAACTACGCGTATCACCGCGCTACGCTAGATTAAGTTACGACCCACCTGAGCCAGAAACTAAATGTAAATTATACCTCACAGCTTCTAAAATAACTTCAACTTATGATAGTAATATTTTACTTTTAAAATATATTACCGATATTAATAGTTTATACCTAATAAAGAATTTTAAAACGACTAAAACGCCATATAAGAAATAGTAGAAGACAATCTGACAATAAGAAAACAATATAAGATCTTTTGCGGGAAATCGGTACAATAAAGAATCTTGACAAATGTGTATCTCACAAACTGTGACGCACAGCGAGAGGCCCACGCCCAAGCGTGCACCATATTGCTGAGCCAGCACAGAAATGGGGAAGTTTTGATTTGGATTGCTTACTGCGAAGTGAATCCTATGTAACAAGTACATCATCATAATTATACATGTTAGATCAAAGTGCCCAAGCCAAAAAGTGCCCAAAACAAAAGTTTGATCAAATATTTTATAGTTCGTCGGTTTTCCTGCAGCAGAATTCCGTATCAAACATATCAACAAATTACCAAAAAATCGCAAGAATATGTTTCAAATATTTTGATAAATAAAAGATTTATTTTAAAAAATATTACAATTTTCCCATACAAAACGGCAATTTCATATTTTATTTATATAAAGGAAAATGATAAGAAAGAAGTGGTTAAGATATTATTTGTTGACTTGTCAAATTATTTTTGTATTATTCATACAAACATCTTTGACACATCATACATTATAGTAACAAGCTATTGCAAAAAAGAAAGGGATTATGAATAATTAATCTAAAGATAAGTTCAACCTTCACCCATTTTGATTTATTTTAAGAATGTCTGAAAGTGAACGCGCTAAGGAAGCTCTCAAGTATCTCTTAAGGAACCATCTCGTGTCTTCTTATTTTTCTCTTATATTTCAATGGAAAAGCAGAAATTAATCAGATTGTCTAGTTGTATTTATGTACATTCTAGTGTAAATACGAGTATTGAACATCCATTCTTGCAATATGTTTATAGCTTGAATTGCAACAAACAAACAACTTAAAATCTTGCAGTATATTTGTAGCAGAAATTTGCAGTCGTCAGTCTTACAGCATCCATTGTCAAGAGCTAAAACTCTTAAAATTAGTTTTATTCTTATTAAAAATTCGCGTAGGTATAGGAAGTACCTTAGTTACATTCTTGTGTATCTCTTTGATAAGATTCCAAGAGAGTTGTAAGTTTTTAGTCTAGTTTGATAGTAAAAATAATGCAAATTTTTTTTATTTATTTACTGCTGTTGTTTTTAATTATAATTAACAATTTTTACAAAAATATTAACTTATTTTGCATTAAAATTATAATACACAGCCTAAAGTAGCCGCGCAAGCTGTTGAACATTATTAGTTTTGGCTTAGTCAGCATAATGTCAGTGCTTCATTTTGGCCTTTCTGCTGTCCAAAGAGAGTGACATCAAGACCTATATGTATAGAGATAGGGGGCTGTCTTCACCGTCTAGCAGGAGCACAATTCCAAGTGACGATGAAAGACACGGTAGGTGACAAGCCTCTTTTGTAAGTAAGATAACAACTAAAGTAAATTATAGTTTAGTTAAACAATTGTTTTATTTAAAAGTCCAATACAAATACTAATCTTAAAAAGGCAGTCACATGACTTGTCACGATTTAACTATATTATTCTGTTCCTGATTTTGTTATCAGGAAGATGCTGCTGCTTATCTCCTATTTCATTTCCTTTTGAGGTCTCTCACGACACTGAAGAGATCATGTGGGGTAGTGGATTATCTTATACTGCCACTACACAGCGTATATTCATTCTCACATTCTTATTAGATACTTTAATTTAAATCATAAAATATCACAACGATATTCTTAAAATAAAATCTTCCATATTTTTCATTTATTTTATTAGACTAATATGGAAAGTAGTAAGAAAGAATGATTGGAGTTTTATGAAGCTGTTATTAAGGATAAATTAGCAAGCTTTTATAAATCCAACGACCAATTAACAGCCTTGATATAGTCTGCCGCGAGTAAAGCTTTATAAAACTGCTTTTATTTTAATCAGCTTTATTAGAATTTACAGTAACATTGAAAAATAAATTATAGGAGAGGGAGCAAACGAGCATACTGCTCACCTGATGGTAAGTGACTACCGCCGCCCATGAACAACTGTAACACCAGAGGAATTGAAGATGCGTTGTCGGCCTTTTAAAAAGAAGTAGGCTCTTTTCTGGAAGGTCTCTAAGTCGTATCGGTCCAGAAAAATCTCTGGTGGTAGTTGATTCTACAAGGAAATACGGATAAGATAGTTGAATAAACTAAATGAAATATGTGTAAACTTAAACGAATATTGTATAGAGTATATAATATAAGAAGTATAATAACAGGTTTTAAGGCATGTTAGTCCTCAAACGTGATAATTTTCTTCTATGATAACAGTTGTTTGCATTATTTGATATTGGGTGGATTGAAAGTTCATTTTTCACTTCAACCCTTTATAGGGAGGTTAAGCCATATGGCAACGCTTACGTCTTTGTCACTGCTCCCCGTAACTAAGCAGGTTATTTTATGATTACCGTAAAGAGATTCCATACTGCCATCTATTGGAAGTTTTGACATCTCTAGCATTTCCCATAGTCCCTCTTACGACATCTAGGGGACGAAATGCCAAACATGCCATAAATAGCGACTAAATATCGAAGCACTACAAGCCTATTAAATTTTCGTTTAAAATAATATGATTACGCAAAGTATTGGTCATTATTGTCAATATACTTTTAGCATTTTATAGGGAAGTTCAATGATGCCTCAGTTTTGAAATTATATACCTAGTTGGATGAGCTCTAAGGTGTTTACACGCCTCATCAGAATTGAAGATTTTCGTCTGAAAATACAGTTATCGGAACTGCGAAAACAGTAAATTATTTTATCAATATTTTTTTCCAATTCATTCACATTAATGCGTAATTACTTCAAATAGTTACAATTGTGTTTTAATTCAATGAATTAATATAGATACTACATAATATTAAATACTTACCAGCAAAAAGTTAATCATTTCATTTGATTGAATTAATTATTTCAAGCAATTAATATTTTTCACTTTCTCTTTGATATACAATAATTTACGTAAATTAATTGATTGATTAAGGTACACGAAAATTAATGAATAATTAATTATTCAATATTAATATCAGAATATTATCTGAATTTAGTATGAACAACGCTTTGACAATTTTTCATTGATTAATCAAAAACGTAACGTCTCTTAATTAATGATTGATTAATTTAAACTTTTGTGCAATGAATTTAATATTTTTATATAAGTACCAGTAGGTAAGATATCATGTATATCGTACACAAGATCTACTTGAACGTGGTAGCTGTGGCTATCATACATCTCACCCGGTTTATGATTCAAAATCGAGATAATGATCACTAATGCGGACTAAGACGGCATGTCACGCTGATAGTGTAGGTGAATGTGATAAGCTATTATCAAATATGTATGTGCATGAGAGAAATAAGATGTCCGGTCATGATCCGATGATGGTCGATCAGTAAGTTTGAGTGTATTAGAGTTATTAAGTGTAAAACAAATGGGTTTGGCCTGGTTATTTGGTTGAAGAAACTTTGACAATTAACTTTACACCAGAAACACAGGTCTCCGATTTTCTTCAGTTCAATGCAATCCTAATTTTAGGTAGACAAGGGCTTAAAAATTAAGAACATTGGCTCATAGCAATAAATACTTTCACCTAAAAATAAGTATAAAACATAAACATAACACTATTTCGGGAGCTTTCTTCTTTGGCACGTACCTGTATCGGCGAAACACTACTCCAGAAGGCCAGCAATAGGGATCTTCGCTCATTATAGGAAACAACGGTATTAATTTACATTGAAATACTGTGTAAGCATTGTCCATCCTTCGTCGTGCAAATAGTCATAATATCGCTGCAGCTTTGCTGTACCGCGTTACAAAATTAACTTTTAATTAAAAGTAAAAGCTGATACTTCGTTTTCAAGTTCATATTTTGAAGTCAGTCACTACACTAACTAGATATGAAATTGAAAATTAATTCTTTAGTAAGAGAATATAGAAAATATAGAAGAATCAACGACCCAAATTCAGAATGTTCTTATTATTAAAGTATTTTATTCGTTTAGTTCCTTCAAGTCAGCTTTTACTTTTTATTAAAAGTTTAATTTATGAACATTTAAGAGAGTGTATAACGAACATAATGAAAGTAATAAAGTATTTATTTCGATAAAGAAAAAAAAATATTTTCCAAGAATATATTTTCAATTTTAAAAGTTATTTAATACTTCTAGACGTTTCCGAACGTAATAAAATCGGTCGCACTCGGCAATTGGCTTAGCAAACTACAGTCGCTATTTTTCAGTGTGACCTGTTTCATCTCTTTCGAGGAGTTCGAACGGTTAAAGTTAAACTTCCAGCCTATATGTCCTACTGCTGGCTCAGGCCTCCTCTCACTTCTCTAGGTCAAGGAATGTCCACCGCGTTGCCCCAATGTGTGTTGGCGAACTTCACATGTCCTCGAAATATCTTTTTCTTATTTTTAGACATATATGTTTCCTCACGACAGTATTATAAGTATATTACGATATTACAGCCGCACACGTTAAAAGAGCACCTAAAATTGTAATGACACTTTCATCGGTAGCAGCGGGGATCGAACCCGGAATACGCGAGTACTGTGAAGCTTACTGTGAGTGCTCAGCCCCTGAGCTCTCATCATCTCAATAAATTTTAAATAAATTGCAACAGTAAATACAAAAACATTGAACACGAGACTATACTTCATAACTAATATCTCAATCAATCATCTATATCCATATCTCAATGATACATACCTATATTTATTTTAGATTCAATTGTAAAAGACACAAAACAAACAAAGAAAAAAAAGAAAAAACTAAAAATCTGGTCTGTATTTTATTAACCCTTCAATCCCCATAAAAATTCCATGCAGTCGCATGCGTGCGGCATATCCCAAGCGGTCGCATGCGACCGCATCCACCCACAGAACTTTAAACCATTTAGACTTATATTTCGAGCCTTCTTTTCTACAAAGAAGTTTGGCATTATAAAATGTATACGAAATTCTCTATACTGTAGTTTAAACTAAAGTCAAGTTTTACATCATTACATAAATATTTTATTGTATTTTGATAACAAAAAAATACATACCAAGGGGATGTCGGCAGCGTGAAAATAATAATTATTTCTATACATATTACTCGAATTTAATTACGTAAAAATATATATTATATTCACACGAAAACTTTCATTACAATTTTATAATAAAGCACTATACTAAAACACTAATAAAATACTAGAAAAATCCAAAAATCAATACAATAACATTCAATGGCGCACGAAATGAACGTAGATTATAAATAAATATCCATGAACTAACTAACTTTTTATTCCATTAGAGGATAGAAATTTTACACTGATTCCATAATACCAAACTTCTTCATAGAAAAGTAGTCTCTAAACATAAGTATTAATGGGTTAAAGTGCTATGGGTGGGTGCGGTCACATTCGACCTCTTAAATTTTGACGGAATATCGAAGCGGTCAAATTTGGACGCTTGCCGTTTCAGAGATTAAATCGTAACGTACTGTGTGAATAATAATAATAATAACCTGGCAGACCGAGTTCGGTATATCTTGCGCTCAAATACATTTGATGTCACCGAACTCGAACGGCTACGACGTGAGGCTGTTCCTTTATCGGATGAAAATGCTGCGGCTGAGGATGCGGCACCACAACTTGCTGAGCAAACGGCAAATGTGAATGCCGCCGTAAATACGCCAGTCGTGGTTGATTCAAACGATGATAGAACAGTCGCCCAGGAACTGGAACTAGAGCAAATGAGGAGTACATTGGAAGAGGTGATTGTGGAAATGCGCAGTACGCCTCTCGAAAATCGACCGCGACTTCCCCGCTTAGCCCTAAGCAAGCGGAATCGGGCTGTCGTGAGGGCTATGAACCCAATAATGGTTACCTATTTGGAAGCCAGCCGGGACCTTTGCGAGACGGACTCAATTCTTTTTGAAGCCGCACTGGCAGTCTGCCATATTATAGGCGCCAAACTTTCCACGGCTGAACGCGCTACAGGACAAAGTAGTGCTATCCCAACATGGAGAATAAGAATAAGAATTGAAGAACGTATCGCAAAGGCTAGGGCCCTCCTCGGCAGACTGATATGCTTCAGGTCAGGAAATACCAGGCCAACGATTGTGCGCACCGTCAGGATGGCGTTTGCTGGGACAAATGTTAGTTTGTCCCAGCCGGATATAATGCAAAAACTGACGGAGCGCTAGACGACCTGAAGCAAAGAATCGCTGTTTGGGGAAAGAGGATTCGGCGATATACCGAGAGGTCGACACGGTTCAACCAGAATCGTTTCTTCCAGAGTGATCAGAAGAGGCTCTATAAATCATTGGAGCGACCAATAGTAAGTGGAACGGGCCCAGCACCAAATCAGGCCGACACGGTCGCATTCTGGCGCAGCCTGTGGTTAGAGCCCGTAAACCACAACGAGGGCCCTTGGACGGAAGTTGTGGCGAGTCAGTGTGCGGGTATTATGCCCATGGACCCCGTCATCATAACGCCGGATGACGTAGCTGAGGTGGTCCGTAGGGCCCCGAACTGGAAAAGTCCGGGGCTTGACGGGCTGCATCACTACTGGCTGAAGGTGTTAATGGTGTGTCACGCTGTGCTCGCCCGACAGTTTCAAGAGGCTCTCAACCAGAAGTCGCTCCCAAGCCTCTTCACTACTGGGATCACTCATTTGGTTCCTAAAGATCAGGGTGCCACAGATCCGAGCAAATACCGCCCCATCACGTGTCTACCACATACACATTCAATTTGAGCGCGAGAATCGCTCGTCACCTGGACTCAAATCAGGTGATGTCGCGCGCTCAAAATGGATGTCTGGGCGGAGGTCGTGGAACCAAGGAACCTCTCTTCATTGACGCGGTGAAACGCAACCGTCGGAACTTCTCCGCCGCCTGTATAGATTACAGAAAGGCGTTTGACACGGTGCCCCATACATGGTGTGACGGCCCAATATTATTATTAATAATTAAATTCAATATAAAGGGGCGTCAAAAATAGTCTTAAAAGATATATATTAAGCAATTAAGTTAAATTAATAAACATAAAGTTAATATATTTCAGACATTATCCCAATAACATAATATAAATTAAAGGCAAAATTATTGTTTTTCGTAATAAATAAATTTATTTAAAAACTTAAAAAAATATTTAAAATAAGATAAATAATAGAAATACAAGTCAAAAAATATTATAAAATTAAGTTAAATAACGTTTATAAGATAATTAGAAAATTTGTTAAAAATTGTTTAAGTCATGGGAGGTGTTCGTGTATAAAAGAAAATTTTTCTAAGTTTTAGAAGGAGTTCACGTATAGATGAAATTTCCTGTTGTTGAAGGAGTTCATGTATTAAAGAAAATTTTCCTAAGTTATGGAAGGTGTTCACGTATAGATGTCTTGTATGGAGGAAGCTGTCGGAGGTACATACCTGCAGTTGTACATATATATGGGGTGGTCGGGAGCCCGACTGCCTGAAGTACTGTAGCACAATGACTAGTCCTATATTAGGGACTTATGATATTAAACTCAATGATACAAAAGCAATACTAAAGAAGGTCTCCATGATGAATTTGCATTACAATAGTAGGGTCGTGGGTTCGAACCCTATATATTAATGACTTATGAAAGTAAGGTCTATGATACAAAAGCAATACTATAGAAGGTCTCTATGATTAATATGCATTACAATAGTAGGGTCGTGGGTTCGAACCCTATATATTAATGACTTATGAAAGTAAGGTCTATGATACAAAAGCAATACTATAGAAGGTCTCTATGATTAATATGCATTACAATAGTAGGGTCGTGGGTTCGAATCCTATATATACATGACTTATGAAAGTAAGGTCTATGATACAAAAGCAATATTATAGGAGGTCTCCTTGATGCATAAGCATTGTATGGGGTGGTCGGGTGATTGACTGCTCCTAGTACTGTAGCAAAATGACTAGTCCTTATTAGGGACTTGAAAAGGAATATTATGGTGGCGTGTGTGCTGCTTCACGAGCAATTGGTCCGAGGTAAACTTGGACTCGCTAACCGATGTGTCCTAGACATATCATCTTAGTGCCGGTGGTAAGCGGGTTTGTTGTAGCAATACGGCTTTCCCGTGGACATCGCACACCCATACCGTTTGTGGGCGATGTCGTTGCACATAGCGATGTGTCGTCTATCTTTCGGATGGGGATGATGAGTGTGTATGGTAGCACTTTTAAGTGTAACAGGCATACTCAACTTCATGTCTTAGTGCATTAGCGCTATGATACGTGGAGTTTTGGCCACTGGCGTCTTAGTAGCGTGCTACTATGATACGTTAGTGATATTTTTTATATAACAACAATAAAAACTTTGTTACCAAAATCGATAGGAGTCATGTGGGTGTGTTGTGAGGGGGCGCCACCCGAATGATAGTTGCGTTGATGCTTACTGCTACTTGCGGTATTGCGTCTTGTGATGGATCTGCGGGTGTGCTGCGTCTGATTCGACGCATTCCTGTGGTTCTGGTCGATGGAGGTATACAATTAACCTCTTAGTGCCGATGGTAAGCGGGTTTGTTGTAGCAATACGGCTTTCCCGTGGACATCGCACACCCATACCGTTTGTGGGCGACGTCGTTGCGCATAGCGATGTGTCGTCTATCTTTCGGATTGGGATGCTGAGTGTGTTTGGTAGCACTTTTAAGTGTAACAGGCATACTCAACTTCATGTCTTAGTGCATTAGCGCTATGATACATGGAGTTCTGTTCATTGGCGTCTTAGTAGCGTGCTACTATGATACGTTGGTGATATTTTTTTTATATAACAACAATACAAACTTTGTTACCAAAATCGATAGGAGTCATGTGGGTGTGTTGTGAGGGGGCGCCACCCGTATGATAGTTGCATTGATGCTTACTGCTACTTGCGGTATTGCGTCTTGTGATGGATCTGCGGGTGTGCTGCGCCTGATTCGACGCATTCTTGTGGTTCTGGTCGATGGAGGTATACAATTAACATCTTAGTGCTGGTGGTAAGCGGGTTTGTTGTAGCAATACGGCTTTCCCGTGGACATCGCACACCCATACCGTTTGTGGGCGATGTCGTTGCACATAGCGATGTGTCGTCTATCTTTCGGATGGGGATGATGAGTGTATATGGTAGCACTTTTAAGTGTAACAGGCATACTCAACTTCATGTCTTAATGCATTAGCGCTATGATACGTGGAGTTTTGTCCACTGACGTCTTAGTAGTGTGCTACTATGATACGTTGGTGTTATTTTTTATATAACAACAATAAAAACTTTGTTACCAAAATCGATAGGAGTCATGTGGGTGTGTTGTGAGGGGGCGCACCCGTATGATAGTTGCGTTGATGCTTACTGCTACTTGCGGTATTGCGTCTTGTGATGAATCTGCGGGTGTGCTGCGCCTGATTCGACGCATTCTTGTGGTTCTGGTCGATGGAGGTATACAATTAACATCTTAGTGCTGGTGGTAAGCGGGTTTGTTGTAGCAATACGGCTTTCCCGTGGACATCGCACACCCATACCGTTTGTGGGCGACGTCGTTGCGCATAGCGATGTGTCGTCTATCTTTCGGATTGGGATACTGAGTGTGTTTGGTAGCACTTTTAAGTGTAACAGGCATACTCAACTTCATGTCTTAGTGCATTAGCGCTATGATACATGGAGTTCTGTTCATTGGCGTCTTAGTAGCGTGCTACTATGATACGTTGGTGATATTTTTTTTATATAACAACAATACAAACTTTGTTACCAAAGTCGATAGGGATCATGTGGGTGTGTTGTGAGGGGGCGCCACCCGTATGATAGTTGCATTGATGCTTACTGCTACTTGCGGTATTGCGTCTTGTGATGGATCTGCGGGTGTGCTGCGCCTGATTCGACGCATTCCTGTGGTTCTGGTCGATGGAGGTATACAATTAACCTCTTAGTGCCGATGGTAAGCGGGTTTGTTGTAGCAATACGGCTTTCCCGTGGACATCGTACACCCATACCGTTTTTGGGCGACGTCGTTGCGCATAGCGATGTGTCGTCTATCTTTCGGATTGGGATGATGAGTGTGTTTGGTAGCACTTTTAAGTGTAGCAGGCATACTCAACTTCATGTCTTAGTGCAATAACGCTATGATACGTGGAGTTTTGTTCATTGGCGTCTTAGTAGCGTGCTACTATGATACGTTGGTGATATTTTTTATATAACAACAATAAAAACTTTGTTGCCAAAATCGATAGGAATCATGTGGGTGTGTTGTGAGGGGGCGCCATCCGTATGATAGTTGCATTGATGCTTACTGCTACTTGCGGTATTGCGTCTTGTGATGGATCTGCGGGTGTGCTGCGCCTGATTCGACGCTCTCTTGTGGTTCTGGTCGATGGAGGTATGCGGGTGGTGATGTCTGCTGGGATGTATGGGGGACCTTTGGATGTTGTAAGCCCGACGATAGTCGTATTGATGCTTGTTGCGTTCTGCAGCATTGCGTCTCTGCGATGGTTGTTTGGTGAGACGCTCTTCTCAATGGGGCTCTCTGCGTCTTGGTTTGACTCACACCTAAGTAGCTTTGCCCAAGTCGGGTCCCTTCATTGCGGGGCTGCAGACTGTCTGCCCTCCACGATGTTTTATATAACAACATAATATTATATCTCTGTAACTTTCCCACCTTTGAATGATTGAAGGCAACTTGTCGGTGGGTGAGACAAACATGATCGAAAATGCATTTACTCAACGTCAGTGACACAAACCCTTTCTGATGGCGAATTATTACTCATATCTTATAACTGCCTTCTGGCTATATCTGCCGTTGTATTGGTTGGTGGAGCATATGTGTCGACCTCATGCGGGTGGTAGCTGGCGGGAGGATCTGAGGAGACTCTCAAGGCTGCGGCCGAAAGCCGCACAACGTGGGACCCCATTCCCTTGAGGTGAGCAGTAGACTCATGACACGCTCTGCGGCTAGTAGCCGTGCTGATCATGCAATTGGTGGTGATGCCATACACTTACATCACGTCTGCAGGAGCGGCGGTCTGGCAGGTGGTGGCGCTCACGGAGGGTTTACGGCCAGTGTGCCTATTTGCCTAAACCGTGTGACGTACATTCACTGTGGCTGGATTCGTTCGTATTCTGTATGGCGTTTACACGCATTGACATGCGCGACTTCGGTCGATGTTTGTGCTTACGCACTAACAAGGGGCCAAGCCTCTTTTACTGGTTCGCCAGTTATTTTGCTGTGGACTACGGTCCAGTTCCCGAATTAGCGTTCCCTTCGGGGGGAGTGCATCAAAATGGTTGGCACTCACCGTGCACGGCGTGTGTGAGGCCGTGTACCTCCCTACATTTTTTTAAAAATAAATGTAGGAGAGCGAAGCCCTTGTATTGGGTATTTTGTATAAATATATTTTGAGCCTTTTCCGAGCGGGAAGGGATAATTAATAATAAATTAATAATGTAAACCTGATACAAGTGGAATAAGGACGTTTTATGTCTTAACCTTTCTCGAGCCCTGTCTTCGTGAACGGGGTTCACTTAGCTTATAAGGCACTACCAACAGCTTTCAATTGCTCTAGCGAATATTCATTCTTCCAAAAGACACCTAAAAGAACTAAGTTACTAAACAAACACAACGTAAATACGGGTCCTAACTAAGACGATCACGCCAAAATATTAAAACCGGCCTATTAATAAACCTTTTGAAAGATCATTTAGAAAGATCAAAACATATTTTATTTATCCTGGTCACATATATATAATTTTTAATA